TATCAATTTTGGTTTCAGGGCAGTTTCGATGTATTTTTTGGCATTCAGGATGCCATCAATCACTTAAATTCGGCCCACACCATCTGCAGACATACATGCCCAAATCATGACATTTGTTGGATTTTTTGTAGTTGCTTCAATGCAATCAGGATGAAGCGCTTCGCCTACTCTACGTCTCACGTATTTTCTATCATCACTTCCAAAGAGCGATACTTTACTCTCATCACTCCAGATTACTTGCTTCCATTGATTTTCTGACCATTAAATGTGTTCTTTTGCCGACTTAACTCGTTTTTCGCGTTGCTTTTGATTTAAATATGGTTTATTCCTTGGAATTCTAGCTTGTAGTCCAAATCCTGATAACCTTCTTCTTATTGTTCTTGAACTTACTGCAACACCAGCTGCATTCATTTCACATCTAATGGCATCTGATGACATTTTTCTATCTTGAAGGCATAGCCATTTAATTTTTCTATCGGTAGTAGCACTTGTGCATTTTTTTCGGCCTGATTTGGCATCCTGAATGCCAAAAAATACATCGAAACTGCCCTGAAACCAAAATTGATACCTTCCATTAGGGATCTCTTCTCCAACAACGCACCATTTATTTTTCAGCAGGATTCAGCTCCATGCCACACAGTAAAAGTATGCAAAGCATGTATTCAAAATAAAGGCATAGATATATTACCATGGCCAGGAAACAGCCCTGATCTCAATCCAATTGAAAATTTGCGGCCACGTTTGAAAATTCTTGTACGAAAAAAACGTCCATTCAATAAAAGACAACTAAGTAAAGCTATAATTGATTCTTGGCACCATGTGATTACGAAAGATGAACTCCAAACACTCGTTCACTCGATGAAAAGACGCTGTGAAGCTGCCTTAAAAAATAAGGGTTATCCTACTAAGTATTGATTGTGTAAGTATCACTTTAAAAAAATGCAAATCTAAGATAGATCTTACTAATAGTTGCATAACTTTATTTGTAATACAGATATTGTAATACTGTATTTATTATTAAATTCTACATTAAATTACCTTCAATTTGATATGTAAACGCTTGCATTTAAGTGAAAATTAATATATTCTACAAGCACACAAAATTGAAGAACATGAAACTTTCCAAAAATGTCCACACTTTTGGCCACCACTGTATGTTTTTATTTTTAATGCAGCTCATAAATTCCTGTAGAAAGCAGGGCTTCTTTTAAGAGACATTGGTGTTCCCCTTTGTGAAATGATCTTATTATTAAAAAAATGTCACAATTATTTAGCTTTATTAAAAAAAAAAATACCTTAATACTTATGAATCGCTGGCAAGATTGAGTAAAAAATTTGCAGTTAAATGCAGAGCATGGTTAATTTGGTTTGCTGTCCATTCTTTGGTAAAATATCGCCGCCCGGAAACAGAATGTAGAGTAAATTTGTATCTTCATATATTTATATTTTGTCTGTGACCTCAACGCTGTCAACGATTATTATTATTATAAAAAGTATACCATACATGTAGCATAATTTGCAAATGTAAGGTCCTGAAAAATTATTATATTTCAAAGTTGAGTTTTGTACAATGATACTAAAAAATAGAATAAATCCCGAATCAGTAAAGCATGTAAATTAATAGGAAAAAAATACGTTTTTTTCCTTGCGGTGTTTTCCCGATTCAGTATTTTAATTTTTATTTGAAAGGACTTTACAAATGCTTTTTTTTAAAAAAAACTTCTCAGCAGTTTCTACCCGTTTTATTGTTTGCTTTTTAAAAATAAAAAAAAAGCCTTTGATGAAAAATAATCTGTAGAAGCTGTAGTAATCGGCATATGTAATAATCTGCTAACAAAATTAACACAAATTACACCAAAATCATCGCATTTAGGATGTAGCATTAATGTCTCGACATTTCAGCGAGTTTTGCAGAGTTTTTCTATTCGTCTGATCAACACTATAGATCAGTAGTTACCAACTGGCTGACCGCGGGCCTCATCCGGCCCGCGAAGCCTTTTTTTTGTGGTTCATGAACTAAAATATATTAGTTGTCATTTTTTTGCTGACAATTTTCGTAAAAACCCTACATGGGTTTTAAATACTTTAAAGTTTTATATCTTAACAATTTGATATTTGTTGCTCATTAATTGTTTAATACATAGGTGCACATTAAAGTTATTGTAGCCAGAACTTTTTAAAATGTAATTAAATATTTTTAAAAAATTTTGATAAAGTTGCGGCCCGCCATTTGACTGGTGTTTTGAATTGCGGCCCGTGGCCTCATGTAAGTTGAGAACCCCTGGTATAGATGGTATGTATATTGAATATGAACATTCCATAAACTAAATCAATATGATGATAAGCATGCCAAACTTGTCATAAACTATGTCCGAATAGCTGTAGTTACTCAACATGATAGCTATTCACAGCAAGCCATGGTTTTCACAAAATCCTTGCTACTGATAAGAGGCATATCAAACATGTAATAAATAAAGTCCGAATATCTGTGGCTACTTTTAAAATTAGCATAAAATTTTTGAACTCAGTACTTTTTGCAATATTTTTTTATTATTACTTCATACCGATCAGTAATTGCCTAACTGTAACTGTAAGGTGCCATTAATTTATTCTTACCGCATAATGAGAGAAGATAGCATCCCCACGCTTCAGGTTGCAATGAAGTGACAGGCTGACAAGCATAGAAAGCAACACCTGATGAAAGAAGAAGAAATTAAGCCATGGCAAGCTCACCTTTAGGCTTAGATGGAGTACGAAGTACCTGCCCGCAAAGCGGGCACTCCACTTCTTCGTCTGTGATGATGCCCGTAGGCGACTAGAGTACCGTGTTTATAGCAATAAAAACAAGAGAAATAGCAGAAGCACTGGTTGACGTAAGTTTATACTTGCTGCCGCGCTTATAAAATATGGGACAAGTTAGGTATAATGCTAGCGGTGGATATTCCCGAGTCGGCGATCACATGAAGGTCACTTAATCTCTTTGGGAGTATCCATAGTAAGATGAGGGGAGGGGATATATTATTTGTAGTGCCTTGATAGAACACAATCTGATGATAGGAATGACGTTATTAGGTTATAAAGTCTCATATCTGGTATTAATTCTTTATTCAGTAGTTCATTGAAGCCTGCTGGATCAGGGTTTTTTGCTTTACTGAAGAATGAGATATTTAGCTTACTGATAAATTCATTAATAGTACTGATGTTAAGGTCATTTCTGACGGCTCTATTTGGGAGGTAATATGGGGCACCAGTAATTCGTCTTAAAAATTTGTTTTGAGTAACTTCAAGTTTCTTTGGTTGGGTTTGTTTAATGCATCCCTATGCGGGGCATACATAGGTTAAAGTTGGTCCTATACACATAGTGTATAGTGTCTTCTTAAGGTTTAAGGCAAACCCACCAACAACTACGGAATTCCTGTAGATTTAGAAAGTATTTTTCCTAGTGGTAGCTAAGGTAATATATTAAAGCAGGGTGGAAACTACAGGGGAAAATTTAAAAAGCGGTGACAAGCGTTTCGTGAAGCCGAAGGAAGTTTTATAGGTTTTAATTTCAATGGTGAATTAAGCTTGCCAATTTCAACATCTAATTTTTTTTTCTTCTAAAATTTACTAACATATTTTGGTAGACATGAATTTTATGAAGCAATGTATTTCTTAAATTTTTGTTCTGCCACTTTTTAAATTTTTTTCGCTGGCAGCCACCTTGTAATGTTCTAATAAATTAGATTTAAAAGAATTTTGTTCACTGATACAAACAGAAAGTTTTTAGAAGAAATGAGTAAAAGTCATATTGATATATGCTCATGCACTTTGCTAAATGCTATTGAAGTGAGTACGAAATGCGGGTTTCTCTTAAAGCATATTTATTTCATGAACACAAACATCAATATAACATAAACTAAATTAAACATTATGGGTCGTCCTGCGACCAAGCTAGCTAGTGAAAAAGTTGAAAAGGTAAGTGGCTGTTCTTCCTCTGAAGGACAGAATATATATCACTAGGATCACAGGGTTGCTTTTACCTGAAGATCTTAAATCGCCAAGCTGGCGGTAAGACTGGTGAGAGTGGCGAGCACCGCACACCGTGCTTCGAGCATATACCTGAATTGTTTGATTGAAGCGTATGCAGCAAGCAACTCCCTATCATATGCGCTATAGCGTTTTTCAGTTTCGGATAACTTGCGCGAAAAAAATGCTAACGGCTGAAGATGTTCATTTTCTGTTTGAAATAATGCTCCCCCAATAGCAAAATCCGAGGCATCTACTTGCAGTACTAAATTTGCATCGGGGTTAGGATGAGCAAGCAGCGTAGCGTTCGCTAAAAGAGTTTTACAGTTTTGGAATTCGCTTATTGCTTGTTCTGACCAGTTAATCATACGATTATCATTGCGCTTTGAGCCTTTTAAAAAATCGTTTAAGTGAGTTTGGTTATGAGCTGCGCGAGGTAGAAAACGACGAAAAAAATTTAGAAGTCCGAGAAATCTTCTCAATTCCTTAATTGATTTTGGTTGTGGGTAATTTAAAATAGGGTCTACTTTATTGGGTAATGGTTTGGTGCCATCCTTAGTTATTAAGTGGCCTAAAAATGAAATCTCTGGCACACCAAACAGACATTTTGATACATTTACCGTTAAACCGTATTCATTTAATTTTTGAAACACGGTTTGAACATGCATTTTATGCTGTTCTTCTGATTCACTAAAAATAAGGATATCATCGAGGTAAACATAGCAAAAAGGCAAATCTCCCAGAATTTCATTCATGAACCTCTGAAAAGTTTGCGCGGCTCCACATAGACCGAAATTTAAGAAAGGAAACTCAAAAAGCCCAAAAGGCGTACACACAGCAGTTTTTTGTATGTCATCTGGGTGTACTGGGATATGAAAATAAGCACGGACTATATCAATCTTAGAAAAAATATTTTTGTTATTCAGCGCGTGTGTGAAATCTTGTATATGGGGAATAGGGTACCGATCCGGAGTTGTCACGGCGTTTAATTTCCTATAGTCTCCAACTGGTCGAATACTTCCCGAGCTTTTAGTAACGACATGGAGTGGAGATGACCATGGTGACTTCGAAGGCCGGCAAATACCCTGCTCTAACATAAACTGAAATTCTTGTTTTACAACATCGTATATTTTTGGACTTAATCGCCTAGGTTTATTGTGTATAGGCGGACCAGTTGTATCGATGTAATGCACAGTATTATGACACGCCTGCTTAATTTTTGGTGTTAATTTAGTTAATTCCGGAAAATTTGATAATAATTTATGATAATATGTGTCACCTGAAATTAATTTTACTGAAAAAACATTAGTTTTGGCAGTTATGCCCAATAAAGAAAGATTAGTGACACCATCAATTAATTTACGACGTTTTAGGTCTATCAACAGTCCAAAGTGCTCTAAAAAATCTGCTCCTATAATTGGAATAGGCACCGTAGCAACTAAAAATTTCCATTTAAAGTCTCTTCGTAATCCTAAATTAATGTTCAATAATTTACTTCCGTAGGTAAAAATTTTTGAATTATTAGCTGCAGTTAACTGTAAGGGACCAGGATGTAAATTTTTAATCATTTTTGGGACGGGCAAGCAGCTCACATCTGAACCTGAATCCACTAAAAATTTTAAATGAGTTTTTTTATCATATACAAATAAGCGACACGAACGTACGGCTGTCGGATCTTTTGTCGCTGTAATAGCGACAGCCGGTTTTAGTTTCCCTGGTTATTGTTGTATGAACACGGTGAACAACATTTTCTAGCTTTTTGGCCGAATTTCGAATGATAAAAACAGATTTCAGACGATCTTTTCCGATCCCTAGAGCTAGATGTATATCTACGAAAATTATTATATCTTGTTCGAGAACGATTGCGTGATCTCTCGCGAGAAAATTTTTCAACTTGCTGGCTAAGTGCAGCTATTTGCTGGCGAAGTGCACATACTTCCTGATATAGCGGGTTCGATGTTGACGGATTTTCTCGTGTTTTTGCTGAGAGTAAGGGATTCGAACTCGTGGCGTTATTCGTTGCACAAACATTTGGAAGGGAATCCGTTCTAACTTCGGCTATTTTATCCGCTAGCTTAGCTAAATTTTCTAGCGACTCTGAGCTAACGGAAAGAATTGTTTGTATCTCTGATGGTAAACGCTGCAGCCATAAGGTTTTCAAAAAATCCTCATTTAAAGATGTACCTGCCAGCGTTTGCATTTTCCTCAATAAATGGGACGGTTTGTCGTCTCCTAATTGTAATTCAGAAAGAAGTTTACGGATTTGCTTACTTTCAGAGTCTGTAAATTCCGCGATAAGTCTTTCTTTAAGAGTATGGTATTTATTTGCAGTTGGAGGATTAAACAAAATATCTGAAACTGCTGATAAAGTCTCTGGGTCTATTGCTGCAATGATATTGTTATATTTAGTTTGGTCGTTAGTAATTCCTGATAAATCAAAATTGCTTTCTGCCTGAACAAACCAAAGTTTGATATTATTTCTCCATATTGGTGGTAGTTTAACAGCTATACGAGCAATTTGAGCTTCGGCAAGATTCTGCTCACCTTCATTTGGCATTTTGAACTTTAAATAGAAGCAAGTTTAAACAGCTAAAACTAATTCATATATTAACGTAATTTGACAAGTATTTTAAGTTTAGAATTGACTAGTTACCTAAATATAAATACTACCACTGATAACTTAATGACTAAGAGGGACAAATTGCATACCTAAACCAAGCGAATGACCATAAAAACATACTTGAATCGTCACCAGCTAGCTTTGTAATCCCATAATTCATACAGTATAATCCAAGGGTTCTTCCATGAAAGTTGATTTTAGCATGCTGCGAAGTCCGGGTCACCACTGAAGTGAGTACGAAATGCGGGTTTCTCTTAAAGCATATTTATTTCATGAACACAAACATCAATATAACATAAACTAAATTAAACATTATGGGTCGTCCTGCGACCAAGCTAGCTAGTGAAAAAGTTGAAAAGGTAAGTGGCTGTTCTTCCTCTGAAGGACAGAATATATATCACTAGGATCACAGGGTTGCTTTTACCTGAAGATCTTAAATCGCCAAGCTGGCGGTAAGACTGGTGAGAGTGGCGAGCACCGCACTATTGTGCTCTTCATCTCAAAAGTTACACTTCAAGATGAATAGATAAAGGCAGCTCGAACCAACCTTCAGCTCCTCCAACAAGAAGAAGTTACGATCTTCATCATTATAACACAACAATGGCCAAGCTTCTGACACCATTCTTAGGGCTTTATCTTTTAAAGGTCATGGCAGAAATGCCACGTACTTTTGACCCCGGTCAGATGACGTGGACAGTGCCTGAGCTGATACCCCTCTCTCCAAACTTCCAGACAACAACCAAGGAGGAGACTATCAGTCACGTATAGAATCAGAAACAGGATAGAAAAAAATAAAAAGCGGTAGCTTAAGTTTGGGCATGGCTAATTTGACAACCCTATTTTTGCTTTCACTTTAAATTTAATACATCCAATCTAAGTTTGTTAAAAGTGTAACTATATAACTTTTAATTTGAACTATGTCTTGGTGATATAAATAAAGAAAGCTACTATTACCCCTCTCACAAATAAACTGCTATAAAAATAGTTTGGCTACCAGTTTCATCTTTTTTACCGTGATTGCAGCCACCCTGAGAATGTTTGTATGACTCGCCTGTCTCGAAGGGGTTAAGCCTTATTTGGTCATACCAATGTGATAACAGGGTTCGTACGCACCTGTAAAGTATTCGCAATTGGAATCAATTATGTTACAAAGAAACTGAAATTTTGTACTATCGAATTAAAACTTCATATCCGTCTTGTCTCGTCATTTGAGCTGGACCCTATCCCATCCATCATGAAGTATTTTTTTCCTTGTAGGCCTTCTTTATGGTTAGCAGTCGTTGTGGATGCTATTAAGAGATTCAAGCACTTTGCTTGAACAGGTAAAAATAAACGGAAATAAAAAGAGCTGTAAATTATATGTGCTCGGAATTTCATATCCTGGCTGACTGATACAGTTTAGAGCAGAGTATCTAATCCCTTGGATATATTTACTTCTTCATCTAAGATAAAATTTATTTAAGGATAGGAAAGGAGGGGCGGATAAGTAGCTAAAGCGAAGTCTCAATAAGGTGAATTTAAGGATAAGTTTCGTATAAGAACGATGTCTGGGATGAATATAAAATTACATAGGGATAGTAATCGCATAATAAGGGATGTGAAAAATAACAAGGTTAAATAAAAGGGAAAAAATCGATACAATTATTTACAAGTAGAGGATGGCACCGTATACACTCCCTCACCTCCCGGTAACAGGGATTCGCAGGAGCAGAGTGCATAGTTTGACAGAAAAGAATTTGTTCATTTAACCTATACTTGGATTGTAATGTTTCTAAAGAACACCATCACTACTAAAGAAGGCGGTTACCGGACTATATTTTGCATTAGTAGGAATAATGTCCGGGTCTAGAATCTCATTGAAGTCACAGGTTAAGCAATCTTTCGCACCTTTGAAAAAGAATGAATTTAGTTTATATAGATATTGATCTATTTTATCTATTTTGGGGTCATTATAGAGAGTATCGTTTCTTACAAACCAGGGTGGCCACGTGATGCGCCTGAGGATTTCATGTTCAAAAATGCTTAATCTTTTGATGAACTTCCTGTCCGTTCGTTGTAGTGGAACTGGGCGTCTGAGGCCTTACGGCTCTTTTTCCATAACATTTGGATCTATATATATTAACTTAGAGAAAAAATAATATTCTGGTAGCTTTAAACATAATAATATTAAAAAAATTATATAGTAATATTATAATCACATTCAGGTGCGTATGAACCCAAGATAAAGCTTCAACCTCTTGAAAGGTAAGACATTAAAGTTGTTTTTCTATAAAGCTTTAATTACCTTTCCAGAATGAAGGACACCTTTGGGAGTACCTGTTGTCCCAGATGTGAAACAAATGAAAACTGGATGGTTGGCGGATACTTGTTCAAATTCAACATCGGGAATGTGACCTTCCAGGGATTTTCCGGTCATCAAAAATTCATCTAAAAGACAACTGTGAAGACATTCCTTAAATACATTTTCAACTCATACTAGATGACAAATTATATTTTAGAAATTCAAGCCACCGTTTCAATAAAATTGGTTTAAACACGCCTATTTTGTTTTATAACAGCCGTTGAATAGCCTACCCAATTTTGAGTTTACGACTACTAAAGTTCAACTCCGTAGCCTTGTAATTTTGAACCCAATACAGAATACAAGGGAAATCCTGAAAAAAATATTGGGAGAAATTTGTCCTTGTGGGGGACTTTTTGATGGAACTGACCCGTATTTGCGTTAGATGGACAGGGAAAACACCGAAACCTCGCAAAGCGAACCTGATGGCAATGGGACTCTAACCCACGATCCCTCTACCACTGAGGATATTTTTACGTCAGCACTGTGATCGGTGTGACCCGATTGCGGAATTCGTATATCAACCAGTCATAGCTGGAAGGCGAATACTCTATCCCCTGAGCCATCCCGGCTCTGCCTATTTTATTGAAACGATACCGAGTTCTTTTAATTTGATTTTGACTATACTGGACCTATTAGGTCAACCGGAAAGTTCTGATAGTGAAAATAACTTCCTCCTTCTACAGTAATTTTAAAGTAATGCAAAAGGTTCTTCTTTAAAATAAGGCGGTGGGGTATTTACCCTTTAACACTAATGGTAAGTTTTGTAGATTAAAGAGACACAGCATATATGGTGCAAAAGAAAATGTGTATAGCGTCTGATCTATATATTTAAGAGTAAATGCTTGTTTTTATAAAGTCACCTTCCTTGTATAAAATGACATAATTTTCCGGTAGACCTAGTCTAAGCACTTAATTATCAAGTAATATTTTTATAGCTTCTAACATTTTTGCTTATGCTAAATGTTTCTTAGGTTATGGTGATTAGCGAGGAAAATCTAGTGTAAAAAATTAAAGTACATGAGCTGAAGGAAAAGCTGCTTTTTTTTTAATAATAACTAAATTCTGTTTTATGACACTAACCGGGAAAACTCTTCTACAAAAAGCTGATTTTGGTACATAAAGAAAAATACTGTGCTTAAAACCAAAATCATTTTATGGGAATAGTAACGATAATAAGGTTTTGAAATAAAACAGCTTAACATAACTCGAATAATTCTTGATAAATACCAACCAGTGGTAATAAAAACATTTTACTTTTTACTTTTTCTTATAGAGAGTAGATTATCGTTTACTATCAATATTTCATTTCATTAATAGCTATATAAATTTTCTGATCTTTCACCATAGATATTATATATTTTGATAGTTTAATAATAATTGCAGTCACTGCTAGTTTAACCCTTTTGAAGGCCGTGGTAAGTATATTTACCACCACGTTTTACCACTTTTAATTTAGGTTTCCATTTTTCAATAACTTCAGCTTTCTTGAAGTGAGTTTGAATAAAATTGGTAGCCATTTGTCACTTTTAAAAAACGTATAAAAGTTATAAAATACATAATTCCTTTTGAAGTTTGTAGCATTTAAGGAATTTATTTTATAAATAAAGAAAAATAAAAGTCAGTAAGTTCCTAATAGGTCATGTTAAATATATTTACCACCAAAAAAATGGCATTTTTATTAACTAAATGAGTTTTTTTTTTTTTTTACATCAATTACTGTTCTTAAAACAATTTCAATTCCAAAAATACTTTAATTTACCTTTACTAGAAATAAAGGGCCCATTAAAGGGTTAAATTTTTTTTTAAATAGACGAAGTAATGAAATGTCTTTGCTATCAATACCTTATATTTTACGAAAATTAAACAACCATGCTTTGATATAATGCAGAGATGCCAACTTGCTTCGTTTTGTAAAAAAAAAATATTTTCTAATAGTAACGAAATTTAAGTTATTTTTAGTTCATTATTTTTAATTAATTTTTCCATCATTTCCTATCAAAAATCCGCCAACATCATATGAAATGTAACTTATAATGTAAAGCAGACATCTCGTGTTGACTTTTAAAAAGTAGGCGTAATTATCCTTATTCTATAAGTTTTGCTATGTAATTCGCTACCAATTTAATAGAACTTTTGCAGAAAGCGTAGCAGTTGGCATCCCCGATAATGCAAAATTTGTTTATAACTTATATTTCACCTGTTTTGAATAAAGGTCAAGTCCTTTTCCAAAGTCTCTGGTTTAGTAGGAACAATGATTACTTTCTCCAATGATTGAATACCTAAATACATTTTCACAGATTAGTTTAAAAGAGGCTTGTTGTATGAGAAATTTATACTTGAGTGAAAAAAAAAATTGAACCTTTTATAAGAGGGAAGTCTATAAGGCCCAAAAATTAATTCATTATTTGAAAGAAAAAATAAGAATCTCTTTTTCGCATTGATCATACTGCCGGTGGTAATAAAGCAAACTAGTGGGCTGCGCTAACGCTCGCCAACCCCCGAAAATTACTGCGCAATCTTATATGGTTTGCTTCGCTCGCTACTAACTTAGGTACATTGCAATTGCACAAAATTCCAACAATTCAAAACAATCATCCAAATCCACATAACAACTTTTTTTTTAAAAAAAAAATTACATCTTTTTAGTAAATACTAAGTCATTAAAATAAATTTGAAATCAACAGTTAAATCTTGAATGACAGCACGTCGTCTACGCATTCCTTCACCACTACGTCTTTCATAGCTGTCATCAATGCTCTCTTCCAATCTTCGAGCACGCTTCTTTTGATAATGCTTCAAAAGCGTAACAGCACGACTGAGACTCATTTTTCAATATAAAAAACAAATAAATTCGTGATATAAATCAAAAATCGTCAAATTCGTAATATATAAATTCGTGAAAAAAAGCGCTTTCGACAAAATACTAAAATAGAAATCTATCGACAAAGACTACTCACTTCTGCCTACCTTAATAGTCTGAGATTGCCGCAGCTGATAGGATGAATTTCGGAAGAGATCAGAGAATGCTCTCTCTGGTTATTTCAGTTTCCGTTTTTAAACGAGCTATATGTTGAGCCACCTCAGCTAGATTTGGCGTGTGACATTTTAAGCGGCAATCATTGGTCCATTTTCTGGCGTTGCCATTCGGGAAGTTGTAATGAGGCTTTTTTTTGTCGCCGTGTAAGAGAAATATATATATAGATATAAAAATAATCTATCTAAAACAATTTTACCTTTTGCAATGGCTGGTAAATAATTAAGTATATAGTGTTCCTCGTCCCATGGAAATCTATCAACAGCTATGAGAAATTTAGGTTGCATTCTTTCCATGATTTTTGAAGCTGCCTGAAAGAGAAATCTTAATACTATCAAATATTCGTTAAAAATAAGCAATTAAAATAGCCCCCAAATTAATTTTGTTGTTAGTTAATTATTAGAAAATTTACTAACGTCTAATCCAATACCATTAATTAATACTTTGCATATATTTATCTTATCTACGCAACACAGTTATTAAAAAAAATTTTAAGTTTTCCACAGACCATGCGCAGAATGTAAGTGAACATGCGGGATGGTACATGAAAATGCTGAATCTCTCCAATAAAAATAAATGTAAGATTCTGTTTTAGGCTGGTAAACAATTTTTGGGGAAAAGAGAAAAATAAATAAATTATAAAAATAAATAAAAAACTAAATATACAGGATGCTACATGACGGCGCTAAATTTATCGAGTAAAAATGAGCTTAAAATTTTAATTTACGATAGCAGGCCTGTCAACTACCACGCTTTTTGCAAAATATTTTATAAAAAGGTAGCCATTTAAAATCAAAGCTTTCAGAATTTTTGGTAATTTCGCCAATATTTTAAATGTCTCAACACGTTGCATATGAACTTTTAAATCATTTACATGCAATACTGGCCTGCCCAACTTTCCATGCTTTTTTGAAATTTTTTTTTCTAGTGGTAGCTAATTTCATATGAGCATAAATATTCATTTAAGCTCATATGAATATTTAATGTATTATTCTTCCTTTTATAAATTTGATTCAAAGTTGCTTTCCTCATCACTACTTGTTCTTGGTTCGAAAGCCTATATCCAAGAGTTCCATCAAGAGGCTTTATAAGTGTTGGTAAAATTACATAAAATAGTGTAAGCTTTAAATTTTAATTGACAGCCCCTCCATAAAATATTAGACTAAAAACTTAGTAGTTGACGTCCCTGGTAGTGGTGTGGAAAATAAGTTTAAAGGAATAAAAAAAAATTAGTTATTAAACCCTAAACCTGCGACTGGAAATACATTTGTACAAAAAGCGTCAAAAGTTGGCAGCTTTACGATAGTAAACTCTTTCGAGTAAAGGTTAAAACTGTGCAAGGCTGTAATTTTTGCTACGCTTTTAGAGAAATTTTTTTCTAGTGGTTGTAAGTTTACGTTTTCATACGTGGTTCGTTGTTTCATAAATTTTGTTTAATGTTATTTTCCACACCATTGCACTCAAAGGATTCAAAAACTCATATGAAATGCTATTTTGCATCAGATGTCATGAGGTAAGGCTCTTAAAAAGTCGACAAAATTACCAGAAATTCTGAAAACTTTTATTTTTAATTATATACCACTTTATAAAGCATCTAGAAAAGAAGCGCAGAAGTTGGCAGCCCTAAATATGCTTTATAATAATGTCCCATAATAATTACTAGTACGTATCGTGCTTTCGTATCTATTGCATACGACCCAATAGAAACAATATGAGAAATAAAATTAGTACTCACTTTAGCACCGTATAACGGATGAGCTCCTCCCCATATAGCTCCAATACTAACAGCAGCCAACATAGCGATCACAGATTCTTTTCTGTTCGACATGTAGCCTGGTAGAAATAGCTAAAATTATCCTACTTAATACCAACAAATTGAATATGTAGTTCATTTTTAATTCAACAAGTTAAAGAAACATGAAAATAGTTTTGTTGTTCCTAATACCACTTGCCGATATCAGCAAGCCTGCTTGCTGAAGCCAAGCGAATTTAAGGCAGAGAGTCATTTCTTGTTTTTCAGTGGTTCCATTTATGTGCAAGAATACGACTTCAGCTGCACACATGTCACAGCTCGTTTATAGGGCGGACCCATTCATACATCCATTCATCCATTATCGTAATTTTGATCTGAACAAGAGAACGATCAATCTCCAATTCAGTACCCTCAGAGGCATTGATTTGTTATGGGAACATGGAGGACTTCGTGATCCGACAAATTTAACGTATACCAGTCACTATTTACACGGGGAGTCTTCGGGATCGAACCCACGAACTCTTGGACTTGGGCCCAATGTCCTACCAACCAGGCTATCCCGATCCTAAAAATAGTTTATGATTAGTTAATCTTCTTCTTCATTGACTCAACAGCCATGGGTGGGTCTTGGCTTTCTCAAGAAGTTTTTTCTAGGCTTGTTTTCTAATTGCAATTGTTGACAAGTTTTTTATCCGTAATCTTTTTCCAAGCCATCTAATCGTCCCAAATTTGGTCTGCCTTTTCTCCGAAGGTTTATTGTCATTACATGAAAGATTTCTTTGATCATGTGATCTTCACGTATTCTGATTACGTGCTCTGCGTTTTTTATTCTTCGTAATTTAATTAAATTAATAATATCTTATTCTTTATACGAGTGGTATAGCTTTAAATTAAATCTAAGTCAAAGGTTTTTTTTAACCACAAAAGGTTTTTTTTAACCACCGAGCAAATTTCTCAAGCTCGTTCTCTCAAGCACATATACATAAGCATAAATCATACTCCAAATTCTGCATTTGTTAAAATTGATCTTGCAAAACTTTTATAGAGCAAAATCTTTGTTTTTCCTTAAATTACCTTTAATTTTGTCTATTTCATTAAGGTATCTATTGGCAGTCCTTATCCTTTTAAATTTTGTTGTAACATCATTTCAGTTGTTGATTTCAGAGAATAAGTAAAGCTGTCTACGACTTTAAATTTATATTCTCCGATTTCTAAATATTAATTACTATTTTCTCTGTACATGGCATGTTTATGACTTTATTTTTATTGGTGTTCATTCCTAACAACTGCTTGAATGCTTTTGGTGTTCTCGAATAATTGTTGATATCAAAAATTACACAATTAGTTAATAATTTACAAGTATTTTGAAACACATTAAGTCAGGTACTTATTAAGTCATCTTACTTATTGCGATTTAGATGTAACATTGAACTTAAACTTATCACAGTATATAACAAGATCACGAAGAAAAAATATAAAACCTAAGTTAAGTTTCAGTCACTGACAATTATCTTATCGTATACATTAGACAGAGATGGCAATTACTAAACCTTTTGCAAAATATTTTAGAGAATAGTATGCACTCTAAAGCTAAAATTTTGGGCACTTCGGTTAGTATATCTAACAATTTAAAAGCCTCACCCCATGGGAACGGAAACAAAGTGATATTTTATCTGAATTTTTGAATCATTCACATGTAGTGGTGAAGGCTTTAAAATAAATGAAAGAATGTATGAAAGCTTTAAAATAAATTTAAACAAAGAATCATACATTAAAATATAAACGTTCCTACCACTAAAAGAAATTTTCCCACGATGTGTAAAAAGTTGGCAGCCCTGATTTTAGATAAAAAACCTTTATTGTTTCACAAAAATCTTCCAAAAACATAATAATTGACTTATAATCAGTAAAATGAAAGCTGTATTCGACATTCAGCGCTGTTTACAAGCAGGGCATATGTAGTTGGTTTATACAAGAAGAAAGAAACGGATTACTTTATTTTGACTAAACAGTTTAAATTACTCTCTCCAACTCATCTATATTTTTATTTCATAATGCATGTCATTACAATCGTCAAGAAATCCATTCTGTAACGCATTTAATGGCACTTAAGAGATGTTTTAAAAATCTATTACACAATAGGGGGGAAATTTAAAATGAAATCAATGTTGTTCAAGTAAAACAGAAATCAATGCAAAATTTTATTAAACGGTTCTTAGCTGTTAAAGTGTTAAATAATTTAGAAAAAAAAATTAATTCTGCCACATGCTGTTTAAATGGTGTAAAAAATAAAAAGCAGTGTGAAGAATTTTTAATAACACGTAATCAATTGTACCGTAATGGTTTGAAGGGATCACTTAGGATACAAGTTTATTATTTAATTTCTATAAAAGACACAACATATTTTTCTAGATAAATATACATTTTGTAGGCTGATTCGGACTTAAAATTCTTAAAATAGAAATCAGCATCAATGTATGCAATGCATTGTATGATGCATCAATGTATGATGTATGCAATAGTTTAGTCAGCATAGGTGATCCGCAAAAAGTTAGGGACACACATAACTGTAATTTTTCATTTCTCGATTTTAGGCCTTTCTTTATAACTAATTGCATAAATTTAAAACTATTCAGAAAATATTATGAACCTTGATTAATATTTATTGAATTGAAAATTAGAAAAAAGCATTTTGAGCAGTGGTGGCTCAGGGAATAGAGCTCTTGCCTTCCAATGAGGTGACCCGGGTTCAAGTCCCAGCGATGGCTGGTCAGTACGAATTCCGAACCCACCTGGCGCCAACCACAGTGCTGATATAAAATATCCTCAGTGGTAGACGGATAATGGGGTAGAGTCCCTTTCCACCGGGCTGGTGATGGGAAGTTTTCGTGGTTTTCCTCTCCATGTAATGCAAATGCTGATTAGTTCCATCAAACTGTCCTCTACGAAGGTCCTATAAGTTTATCCCAATACTTGATCTAGGAGTTCAATTGTTTTCTGGATAGGATTCAAAATTAGAAGGCTACGGGCTTGTAGCTGTAAATTCAAAATTGGGACGGCTGTTCAACGACGATTATAAAGTAAAATACTTTGCCTTTAAGCATTTTTTTTATCATGCACGATATTCTTGGCTATGGATTTTGATCAATGTAAATATAAAAAGCAACTTACTGGCTACTCTGTCTCCTTTCTTTAGTCCATTCTTCTTAAAAGCTGCTGCATATAGACTTACCTGTTTATACAGCTCAGAAAAAGTGATTGATTCCTTATTTCCATCCGTATCTGAAAAAGATACAGAATCAAATGTTTCGAGAATAAGGAATTCATAAGACATTAATGAACAAACGTTGCAAAATCAGAGTGGGTAACAAAATTAGTGTAACCAGAAAAACAGCTGGGTACAGCCGAGAAAACATGACGGATTTTCTATTTCCAACCACACCTAAAAAAGGACGCAGAATCAAAAGTTTCGAGAATAAGGAATTCATAAGACATTAATGAGCAAACGTTGTAAATTCAGAGTGGGTAGCAAATATAGTGTAATTAGATTCCATATCTCTTATTTGAAATATTAATTTGGGACACCACATAGGAGTAATTTTTATTTCCTTTATGTCAAGAAATTTATATATTAGAGGTGCTGTGATGGTTACGGAGCACACTATATGCAACTTTATTTAGATAATCGATATTTTCGCTCAAATATATCATGTATTTTGAATCCATATCACATTTCAAAAATAAGTAAATAAATTAATGAAATATAAAATTTTTTGGTGAAATGTATGTGTGTTTTTTTAAAGGAAAATTCTTGAAATACGTAAAAATTTAGTTACACAATCAAGTTCTTTAAAATTCTAATTAGTTGAGCCCCTCTGGCTGAATGGTAGTGCTTCGCGTTCCCGTGCCTAAAGTCCGGGGTTATATTCGAACCCTACAAGTTTGACTCGGTCTTTCATCCCTTCAGTTGGTTCAGTTCATCTACGCATGTTTGGGGACTAAACACTGAAGGTTCCACGTTAGGTTGACCACCCAACTGTAACATTTGCTTTTGCACCCCAGAGCCCAATGTCACGAAACCTGGTTGGCAGAGCAGGACTTGGCCCTTTTTGGGCTTTCGTGCCACTGAGGTTTAGGTTAATTTCGTCGGTTTGTGTCCCATTATTTAATTTCATATAAATCGCTTCTATGAGTATGGAGTTTTGTAGTGATTATAAATTGTTAGTATCATTTTCATATTAGTCGCTAAAAAGAAATATTTTAAAGAAATAAAATGCTTATTCAGAAAAAGAAATTATGTGATGATAAAGTTACTATTAGTACAAATTAATGTTTTAAATTATTCAATAGTTATCCTACTGACTTTTTCAAAAAACGCATTAAAATATAAAATTAGTTAAATTTTTTTTTTTTGGTTTTATTTTTTCGTTTCTTAATTTTTTTTTTATTTGCGTATAGTGATCTTACTGTTCTGCAAAAAGTTAAAAAGTTGTAGTGAAGTTTTAACGCATTTTTTTAAAAATTTATTTAACAAACAAACAGGAGGATGTACTTTTAAGAAGTATATACTTTTTTTTTTACCAGATAAAGCATTTTGAAAAACAGAGAGTAGACTAGTATCTATTTCTCTCTCTATTTCTAACAAAAATAATTCATTCAACTGAAAGAACACGTTCACGAACAGATAAACAAGAATAATTCATACTAGCATATATTTATAACACAATCCTGTGAGAGTAATTAATGTATATAGTATATTTATCACCATTTTATGCATTCATTTATCTTTTTTTTGTATCTGAATGTATATTTATAAACGGTATAGTTAAACAAATCGAAACATAAAAAGAATCTTCATTCATAACTAATAAATTGTAAAAATATTAAAATAAAATGACTTTCATACCAACATAGTTAATGGCTATTCTATCATCTCTGAATTTCAGGAGATTTTCAGCATAATTCATTGTAGCTCCTTCAAACCAAATATTATCCAGAAATCCAGGCCCATTTTTCGCAAAAACCTAAACGTTAAAGAAATTCGACAATGAAATATTCTTACCCCTTTGAGATCTAAACGCCTTTAACTTGTTGAAATCCTTTAAATTTTTGTAGAGTAAGGAATATTTTATTGAACTTATAAACTCATTAATGCCCTGTCATAATGTGACGTAAAAAGTACTAAGAAATGGAAAGACTTAGATAATAAGCTAATATATGTAGATAAAGATAACATAGATAGATAAAGATTGCTAATTCTTTCTTGAGTGTATCGAATAAGAACCAGCGTTCGACGCAGGAGCACTAATTTTTGAAAAAAATAAAATACTGGTAGTAAGAACATTTATCTTTTTTCCCCTTTTATTCAATGAAAATAAAATATTCGCATCTATCACGATTTAACAGTGAACAAGAAATGAGGTGTTTTTACTACTCATACTATATATTTTTATCAATATAGATACAAATCAATTTCTCCAAATCATTGGAGTCCCGCAGTGGACTGATCGTTAAGACACGGTTTCCCGCAGATCACCGAAGTCAAGCATCACTGACTGCGGTCAGTGTGCGGGTGGGTGACCACTTGGATCAGTCTGCGTAGGGACCGAGGGTGTGCGGTATTGGTCCTCGTTAAACTGTTCTACCGTAAAGTGCTCGTCTTCGTGTGCAGGTCGCTGGGCTACCGAAGCGGAGGTGCCATCCTCTCTGCAGAGGATCAAAATTGTGATGGAGTGTCTTCGGATCATCCTCAGGGATGTTTCCCAGACCGTCGCCAATAGCCCATTGTGCAGCTCTAGTGCGACGTAAATGAACAAATCAAATCAACCAAATCATGGGAACCCTGTATTGATTTGTTATGGTAACCTGGAAGACTCTGTTCCCCCGACTGATATAACGTGCGCCAGTCACAATTCAATACACAGGGATTCGACTGGCGGGATTCGAACTCCCGTTCTCCCGAACACTAGCCCAATGTCATACATGAAATATACTTCATATTTTAGAAATAATATCAGGAAACGTTCTTGCTCATCACTATGATTCGAGAAGTCAAACACGGATATAGAGCTATGATATCGGCTGGGTAGAAATTTGTTGCATTTCAGTGGTTGTAGGACCTGTTAAATTTCCACAGCTATGATAAGTAAATTATCAAACTTTATGGATGACCCCTAGTCACCTGTTACGATAATAACAGGTATCGGTTCATAAGTCACGATCATATATGGCAACGTTTCTTTTAAAAAGTAACGAGTAAAATTACAAGTATTTTTAAAAAAAGTAACGAGTAAAAAGTAAAAAGTTCTTATTTTAAAAAGTAACGAGTAAATAGTACAAGTACTAAACAAAAAAAGTAATGATTTAAAAGTACATTTCTAGGAAATCGAAAATTCAAAGTTACCTAAAATTTTATAGAATAATATTCTTATGTTCTTTAATGTTTTTGCAAAATTGTTGTTATTTATTTAATTATTTTTAATTTTCAAAGTTATGGATATTAATTTATTCTTAAATTAGGAAGAATATTACAATATAATTTATAATATAATCGTATAATATAATTTTAAAATCAAATATAATTTTAATATCAAACTTTTTATGAATTTGCATGAAAAGAAATTTTATCTATTGATTTTAATTTTTAGTTTATTATTTTTATTTATTTAAATTACCATTGATTTAAAATTGTTTTACTCTTTAGAAACGCGTTCTAAAAGCACAAACATAAACAAAGCAAACACGGGATTTCAGGTAGCTTTGTGATCTTTGAGCCAGTAAAAATTAATTGAAATTCCAGTATAAGTTGAAACAGAAGGTATTTAAATACGAAGATACCTGTGAATGCATATATATTGCACAGTAATTTTATAAATTAAAAAAAACATAAGCATTTTTTTTAAATTTTTTTTTTTTTTTTTTTTTTTTTTTTTTTTTTTTTT